AAAACTGAAAATAGACTCAAAATTTGTCTGTTGGCTCCAAAATTAGGGTTCGTATACAGAAATATTGTAGAATATATTTTTTAAAAAAATGCAGACAAATTTAGGCGAGAAAGTGTAGTGAAAAGATTAATGATGCATTTTTTATCAATTTATCATGTTCACATTTTTACAACATATAAGAACCTTAATGTGTTGTCTTCAAAATGAGAAAAAAAAACTTAAGCCGTAAACACATTGCTTTATGATGCTGCTTTTTTTCCCCCATTTATTTTGTCTATTCATAGGCGCTTTCAGTAGACAATGTGTTACCCTAAACCCAATGCAATATTTACATACACATTGAAATCGAGGTTGTCGTGTATTAATCTAGTTGGTGTAGATTGTTTTCACTGCCATCCATGTTATAAGTCAGCTCTGTTTTTGAACTATAAAGCCATTGAACATATATAGTGAATACCCAAAAAAGTTCCAGATTTAGGCCCTTCGAAATATATATAATTCACTATGAATTCTGGATGCAATCTGTCAGTTTGAACTGTTTATACTTCATTAGATAACATTCTTACATACAGTGTATAATTATTTTCTATATTTTCAAAATTTTCATCAAGATCTTTATGTAGCCAATGTTGAACTGTGTAAATTTGATTCAACATTATCAAAATATATAAACTTAAAATATATAAATTATTAAAATATATCAAAAATGTTTTCCCAAAATTTTGGTGAAAAAAAATACAGCATTTAAAACTGGTAAGGAACGTATTATCTAGGTGCTGATACTACAAAAGATTTTGTGTGAAACAAATGGAGAATTACAAAATATAGTGGCATTGTATTTTTCATTGGGTTCCTTGAGACAAGGATAAATCAACTGATCACAAATCTCATGCAGGTGGAGAAAAAAAAAACATTTTATATTAATTATGTTTTCAATCGATTGTTTGGTCACAGGAAAGATATTTTGAGTTGAGTGAGTGTATTACCTGTAAAGAATTAAATAAAGAGAAAAGCCATCACTTAAAATGAATGATGGTTCTACCATCTCCCACCCCTAGAATGTCTTATGGTAAACCATTAACCAGGTGTTTATCTTTTTAATGCTGAAAACCAAAGACTGATACTAACTACCATTTCCTTTACATCAGTAGTACAAGTATTATAAGACTGTTAAAGCACTTATACACTGGGCAATACAGTTACTTTTTTATTGCTTTAATTTTAACGAATATCATTATGAACGTTTGTTTTGTTTTTTTGTTCAAAGTTAAAAAAATTTCATTTATCATACTTTTTTTAAAATATAGAGGTTGAACTATGTTATTAATAAAATAATTTATTATTTGCAACGTTTTAATTGTTGTTATTTCTTAAACTTGAATAACTGCATATTTTTTAAATTTAGTTTCTGTTTATGATCTTACCTTTAAATGATATGAACATTTTATCTATCAATGATGGCCTATCTAACCTTTCAATGATGGCCCATCTTACCTTTCAATGATGTGACCATTTCATCTATCAATGATGGCCCATCTTACCTTTCAATGATGTGACCATTTCATCAATCAATGATGGCCCATCTTACCTTTCAATGATGTGACCATTTCATCTATAAATGATGGCCCATCTTACCTTTCAACCACGTGACCATTTCATCTATAAATGATGGCCCATCTAACCTTTCAATGATGTAACCATTTCATCTATCAATAATGGCCCATCTTACCTTTCAATCACGTGACCATTTCATCTATAAATGATGGCCCATCTTACCTTTCAATGATGTGACCATTTCATCTATAAATGATGGCCCATCTTACCTTTCAACCACGTGACCATTTCATCTATAAATGATGGCCCATCTAACCTTTCAATCACGTGACCATTTCATCTATCAATGATGGCCCATCTTACCTTTCAATAATGTGACCATTTCATCTATAAATGATGGCCCATCTTT